TTTGCTCCTGTTGCCTCTGGTCTGCTGGGGACCGCCTCCCCAGCTTTGCTCCAGGTGTCCCTGGTCTGCTGGACACAGTCCCCAGCAGACCAGGGGCACCGGGAGCAGCTTTTCTCGCCCCGGAAGTCGAGGTGGCGGGACCGCTGCCTGCGAGCTCCGGGGCGAGAAAGTCCGGGATCCGCGTAAGTCGGGGACTGCCTGTATTTGGCACTTCTGTAATTGATACCTGAATGTGAGAGATTCAGGGCTGCCCAATTACCAAACCACGCATGGACCTTCCTGGAGAGTTTTGTAACTCTGCTGTTTTGAACAGCAAAATTTTAACCTTGTGCTTCCCCCTTGTAGCCATTGAATAGGCCAAGCTAAAAAAGGGTCAGTGAAGTGTAATAGTGCATTGCTTGTGCTACTACCCAGGTGGATTCAGATTATTGCCCTCTGGGCACTATATGTTTTGCAGTTGTCCAGTGAGACTCCTGGTACTATAAACCTCAAACTGATCTGTCCCGACATCCCCAGGTTTCAGCTTCCAGGTGCTTTTTGCCTCACTGCTCTCTGGTGGGATCCCTCCCCCCTGTTTGCAGAGTTTACCAAGTGCCAGCTGGGGTTTTTGGGCTCATGCTCCAGTTTGGACATCTGCAAACACAATATGTGAAGTGGCCTCTTCTCCCTATGCAAAGTATTTGGAAGATTCTCTTTCTTTTTCTGAGATCTTTATCTTAGAGTCATGGAATAGCCATTGTCTGAGTCTAGTTCCACAGTAAATACCTTGTTCCCTTGCCTTCGGGGGCTTTTGGCTAGAAAGGTAGCAGAGGTTATTTGCAGTTGTTTGCATCATTTTCAAAGGCAGTTAGAAGACTTGAAGTTTATTCCCTGGCTCTATCTGTAAATATAGAAAATCTCAAAAGGTTTCTGGGTGTGGTCCAGAGATATAATAATGTGGATACTTGTTTGCACTTCATTGTTCTGCAAACTACACTTTTACTGAATAAGCCTTCACTGGCAGGGTTCTTTGGAGACTTCCAGTCTGTCCTGGTTTCCCTTGTGTTGGGAATATTTTTGACCTTCCTCATGGTTGTTAACTTCCACTTACAACAGAAACAAATAATTGCAAAAGTGCACCATAAAACCCTTTGAAAAACTGTGGTATTAGCCTTTTTAAATATATGGTGCATCTTCCAGCTCACCAAAACTGCAACTCTGGTACCTAGATGAGGCAAGAATTAATTTTTGAAAAGAAAATGCAAGGATCAGACCTGGTTACAGACACGGGAAGATTCCACGCATGCCTGTTGCATTGTCCATGCACAGTGGTTTCATTTTTGTCACAGTGGGCCATCCAAAGTGCCAGACGCACATACAATGCAGTTGACAGGCAACAGTAAAATTCAGCTGACTTCTGTCTCTCCAGCACATGAAACCAAATGGGACCCTTAATTCTGCAGCAGTTCATCCTTGGCATAAAAATAGATAAAAATAGTCACTTGTCCTGAAGATCAGCAATCAATTTAAACTGATTTCCTCAGAGCTTAAGGCAGATTCCAGGTCCAGTAATGTTGGGCAAAGATTCATGTTGCTTTATTTTTATGCAAACCTTGTCCCCAAAAGGACCATGTGGTGCAATTAGAGAAATAGAGGATTATGTTGTTTCCAGTTTGCTCTTACTGTGCTGTGCATTGTATACACGCATAATGGAAAAAACAATTCTGGCCTTGCAGAATACAGTATGGCAGTATGGCCCTGCCAGAGAATAATCACGGTCTCTTTGAAAGCACAGCACTGACATGGGACCAGGACTGTTAGCAGCCTTGTGAGTGCTGGCTTTGAAGAGGCCTATTGTTGTTTGCATAGCTCTGGTCTAAAAGGGAAGAGTCGTGCATATGTATAAAACTGAAGTCAAACCAAGTTCCTTGGTCGGCTATTTGTTTATACCGTGTCGTACACGACAAACAGCTGTCATGTCTGTGATGTGGTCCCTCTTTGATAGAGCATCTCTGAAAATTTTTTAACATCTATGTTTCTCACAGCAGGGTTGTCCCAAAGGGAGCGTGGGGCCCAGGACAAGGCCCCACCATATTTTGCTCTGCCCTACCCACTGCCCCCACTCCACCCCTTTTACCAAGCTCCACCTCTGCTCTGGCCCCACTCCTCTTGCCACTGCTGTTCTGCTCCCTTCCCCAAGTGACGTGAGCCAGTGGATTACTGGAGGGCATGGTGTGGGGTGGCAGCAGGGTTTCACGAATACCCCCTGACCTCTGCCCTCTCCTAGCCTGCTGGGAAGTGGAGTGTTCGGCCCCAGCCTGCTCTCTGAGCAATGCAGGCTCGGGGAATCAGACTGGGGCCGAAACCAGTGCACTCTGCTTCTTGTGGCTGCAGTGAAGTGGAGTGCGAGAGGGTGGAAGAGAGGAGCAGGCTGTTGGGTAGCTCCAGCTGTGATGAACGTGGGGGGAATTTCCTCTGGGCCCTGCAGCTAATGGGGGGGGGGGGGA